ATCATATCAAAAAGAGTCAATTACCAGCTTGGCATCTGGATGCAAGCCCTCACACTGAACCTAGAAGTTCCCGACACAGATGGCATTAGCTCCATAAAAGTTGATAGCAAGCTGGAATCATAATACGAGAGCAGCAGCTAATTGATGTGACTATAGATCCTGCAGCTGAATGTGATTACAAGTGAAAATAATACAGACATAAACCAAATATGATGCAATCTACAATAGCACAAGTACTACCATTTCACTTGTATCATCGGAAATTCAAACTCGGGCCAGAAAAACACGAGAACTTTGACCTACCAACCATTGTCAGAATCTATGGTCTGGTTGGCAAGACAAAAGTTTTTGATTTTTCAGGCCCGAGTTTGAATCTCCAATGATATAAGCCAGACATTTCTGAAGGCAAAGGGAAGCATCAATATGAACTCAGTGATAATGAATGAACATCAGATCTATAACAAGATGACAATGACAATGTATTTGCTAATATTTATCCACGAAATTATTTTTCTAGGAACAATGATTTATGCACAATAGTTTCCTGAAACTTATCCTCGTTTGTTACTTTTGAACAGTATTTAATGCACTAGATATTGACTATTACCAAAACAAATTAAACACACACACACATTATGTACCAAATGATTGTTTTTGTCCTCCTGTGGAGGAAAACAGTATAATGACAATTAAAATATTATTTATCTGGAAAGAATGATCTATTTTAGACATGTCTGTAAACTGTGATGCACGCATTACACTCGGTTCATACCTTTACATATGCAGGATGTGAAAATACCAAAATCATGAGGAATACAGTTTTTAATGTTACCAAATATAATGGATTAGTGTTGATTTGTACATCACAGGCACCAAGATGAAACTAAAAAAATAAATGAATGCAACAAGGTGCCAAAGTCACAATCAAATGATACATTGCAAATCTATTGAAAAGGGCAATAATATTACCTCCATTATTTTGAATGTTAGAAATTAATTTTATACTCAGAACATTAGTAGGTTTAAAAAAGATAGAGATTTGTAAAGTTTTTTGGAAATAGTGGTGTTTTGGTAGCCCAAAGCCTGTGTCAGAGGTATTCACAGAATCAGCACATCATTTACCAAATGAGTGATGAGCTCGTCTTAAGGCAGAATCAAGGAAGCAACATATTCAAACAGAGCAGAGAAGTAAACAATCCCTCAACCCTGAGATATGTGCAGATGTTCCTGGAAACCGACCCCTGAGCAGTGTCAAATTGCACCCAAATAAAATCCTTGAACCATATCAATTGCTCCTCGCCCAAGGAAGAGAAGCCACCCATCAATCCTTGCCATGGAGCAGCAAATTACTCATTAGCCTAGGGACTCTCTTATTTGTATATTTTTTAATACAAGAGCTGCAGAAGCATCGGGAAGGCAGAGACTACACTGGGTCCCTAACGTACGATGACCCTACTGTACATACAACGACTTGTACTTACAACAGCTGCCAATGCATTCTCAGCCAACTGTTTTGTGCTCCAACTCAAGAGCAATATAGAATCAGAGATTAATTATTGTATTCTTTTAGTAAAGACCTGTAATCATGGTTGATAAGGGAAAACATTTTGTGGTGATGCATTAAGTCCAAGATGGAGAAGAACCATAATACTGGAAATTAAAGTGGACATAATGAGGCACATAGGGGAAAAAAAAACTCCTCCAGGTATGATGAGGCTTCAAGGCAATGTGCATAAAGATCTCTCCCCCAAGTCACTGGTAGGTAAGCACTGGACACAACTACATAAAGAATATTCTAAAGCATGGGATGGCTTGAGCAGATAAAGTCTCAAAGGACAAAAAAATCAAACTAAATTGATCTGTGCAGAATTGGGTGAAAACAGATGGACACATAACTAGTAATAATTTATTTTATGTACAAGTGTCCAGCAAGAAAAATTGACAATGTCCCCTTCTATCAATTTCATAATCCAGCCCCCCAGTCTGGAAATAATTTATTAGCCATGGTGTAACTGGTAGTTGCTAATCATTGGTTAGCAACTAGATCGCTGGATATCCTTGCAACACATAATTATCACTTGTAGGGAGTGAAATGGCTTTATTTTGTACTTTTGTCTCATAGTGAGCAGTCTCTTAATGACAGTGAAGGAGAGATTTTTCACTGTATCCTCGCTCCTAAACAATTTATCAAGATCCTTTACAAAGGTATCAGTCACCATGGGGCTAATAGTTGATTAAGTCTGGCCTATGGGCAGTGTTCTGGGTGGTTCCATGCCCTTGCCACAAAAACAGCCAATCATGCTTAAAACTACTATAAATAACAAGAATAAAACATTAAATAATTTACTATTAAATAAATACAGTAGTTCATAAATTTAATTTATACTAGTGCATAAATCCCTGTATAGCACTTCCCCAACAACCATAAAATGGTACCTGTCTGAAGCCAAGGAATAGAACAGTTATACTGTACAAAATAAATTTAATGTATTACAAATAGCAATTCAATTGCATGGCAATATCGGGAAGCATGTTACGAGACAGTACGACAGTTGAGGTTTAGATTGTCTGTGGCGTCCCTCCCAAGTAATTCAAAATACAGTGGAACCTCAATTCAATGAACATCAATTCTGCAAATCTCCGGTTGGAACACACGCTTTTTTTTGTCTTTTGTAAACAGAGTGGTCTGACGGTTGGAACAAGTTAAGTGAGAAGGTGGTGGAGGCCAAAACCGTCAGTAATTTCAAAGCATTATATGACAAAGAGTGCTGGGAAAACGGGACACCACGAGCGTAGCTCTCATCCTGTTACTACACTTAGGTAATTACACTTTCCACATCTTGAGGTTATCTTGAGATGATTGCGGAGTTTAGCGTCCCATGACCTGGTCCTCGACCAGGCCTCCTTTTTTTGTTACACATCCCCAAGAAACAGCCCATAGCAGCTGTCCAACTCCCAGGTACCTATTTACTGCTAGATGAACAGGGGCATCAGGGTGAAAGAAACTGCCCATTTGTTTCTGCCTCCACCGAGGATCGAACCCGGAACTGCAGGAATACGAATCCCGAGCACTGTCCACTCAGTCATCAGGCCCCCCCATGCAGGATTTATTCACCCAATTTAACAAACAAGAGTTTGCTGAAGCAGTGGATGTGTGGATTTGCTTAGGATATTGGAACCAAGTTCACTGGAGGCAACATTACAATAAATAGTTGGGGCCTTTGGTAAGCCACAGAGTATATTTAAAAACAAATTCTCTGCATGTTTTTTTTATTTCCAGTTGCAGAGTTTTTGTTTTGTAAAATATGAACCCCTTTTCCTTTGAAAAGGAGATTTCAAGGATTTAACAAAGAAAATTTGCTAGATGTCGTCAAATCTCATTACAGACAGGTTCCCTTGTTACTCTTCATTTTAGTTTGAAATTATAATTTCACTCAGTGAAATCGGCCCATGGAGCATGGGATATATTAGGCATTAATATGTTTATCTTAATATGGCTCCAATCACATTTTTAATGATTTTTGTAGATGGGCACAGATTTAGAAGAAATAGCAAAGGGTCTTCGGAAAGCCATTGAGCATATTGAAAACCAAATTCTATGGTTTGTTTTCATTTTGAGTTGGTAAGGCTTTTGTTCACTTGGGTATGGCCCAGCTACCTTTGAAAATTAGTTTCGAGGCTAAGGACATGTGAAATGACCTAGATGTGGTTAAATTTTTTTGCAGACATTCATTTGTTAGTTGCCTATTATAGGTTGAAATGAAAATTTTGACAAGAGAAATTAGCCTATAGATTTTGGGAAATGCATCCTGGAGTCATTTCCCATTGCAACATATCCTTCACTGAAATGAACCGGGTTTGATCCCATACAGTGTTTTGAATCGAGGTTGTACCATCTTAATGCATGGAGTGATGTTTGTCATAAAAATTTTCCCCCTTTCCCCCCCAATCCAACAAATAAATGTGTACAGTATTCCGTTCAGTAAAGGAAAACCAAATAGCATAACTAATTTAAAATCATTAAGCCATTAAATCTATCCATTATAAAGGCCTATACTACATACAGGAATCTACTGTTCTGAGTAATTTAGAACATCGATACAATTTTAACAGGAAGGTTTAACCGATTTGCTGCCAATCGATTAAATATATCCATCCACTACAAAAATTAAATTTCCTTGGGTCCTTGACATGTTAGCAATATAAATATAGTCTCATCATGAAGAAGAAGGAACTAGTAATTTTTGTCGTAAGTAGCAGTCAACGGCCCCCATACCTTATTTAAATAGATGGAAGGAAGCAGAATGGCAAAGAGATAAAAATTAATAACATATAAAAGATGCCAATAATATAAGACAATGCAAAGAACGAGAAAACACAGAAGACGACTGAAGTGTTGCTATCCTTTGAGTGTAAAGTCTCCAAACACTTAAATTACTACAGTTACCAAAATATAGGGAATCTTGTGTACTTCCAGGATGATAACGTTTCCATGGCTGGCCATGACCTACCATCCAATAAAATGGTTATGCTGTACTTAAAATTCAAGGGATAAGGATAGATGCAAACAAACAATAAAGACATTAAATATACATAGACAAATATACAGGCAAATTTAAAAATATACATACCTATACACAGCATATATGTAAATAAAGTAAATATGTTTTAATTAATCTACATTTGTAACTCCTATTATGTATGCACAATAACAGCTTAATGTCCCGATATCATACTTCACGTGTTGCTATATGCAAATAAATAAATAATTAAAACCATATTTTCCACTTTAACTCCATTCTCCCTTTACAACAAAGCCAACTAAATATTACACACTTTCCTAATCAAGCAAAAATACTACCTAAAATACATTTTTATTACAATATACAAAATAATGCACAAAACAATATAAACATGTGGTGTCTACAAGACCACTTTGTATTACAATTAAAACATTTAGTCCATTATCAAAAAGCAACACCTGATTTCAATTAACTTACCTGCTGCCGCAGCTGCTGCAGCTGCTGCCGATGCAGCTGCTGCTGCTGCCACCGCTGCTGCCGCTGCCGCTGCTGCTTGCTGCTCTAGTTGTTGCTTCTGTTGTTCCAATGCCTGAATCTGGCCTGTTGCATGCTGCACAAAGGCATTATGCTGCTGCTTATAACCCTGAAGGTATACAAAAGTGAACACTATGTCAATATTTTTTTAAGAATAAATAAAAAACAAATTGTATCGGTAATAGATTATGCACGACGCTGCTAAATATACGAATGTTTAAGAACACGGAAAAATTAACGAGATACTAAAAAGTAAATGCAGATTTAAAATGTGGAACTTTTACACAAGACCGGTCTATAAGCTGTAAAAAGAAAATAATCATAACTCATTTTTATTTCAGGAAATTTGCAAAGTGAAAATACACACAAGCAGAGGCAATCTTTTGTAGATCCCCTCCTGATACTTTAGTTTGTGCCCTGATAGGTTCTGCTCACACTATGTTCAAAAAATTATTTTTGGAAATTTTGGTTTGAGGACTTGTTTTACTGTCAAAGTACAGACGACACATTCTAGCATCATCGGAAGGCTGAAGTGTTAAAAGGGCCAAAAATCTGTCCCGACTCCTGGTAGGTTGGGAAGGTCTCGAGAGCCTAGCATTTGGGAGTGACTGGGTTATTAGAGCATTTAGCTAACGAGAGCTAAAACAGGGCGAGCACAGAAAAAATAATTACCATAAATAAAGTTTAACGAACCTCAAAGGTGGCATCTATGTGCTGATTGATGGTTGCCACAACCTGAGGAAACTCATCAATGAGGGCTTTCTCAGAAGCTGCCCAAGACTCTACTGGATTCTTCAGCTGCAACAATACCACATCTTCCAAGTTTATTTTTGATTCCCATAGTGACAGCAACTGAAATGTCACAGACTAAAAATATCAAATGTGCTTCCTGTGGCAGAGCCACAAGAAGGAAAGGGAGTTTGAACAACAAGGGCAAGAAATCAGGGATGACCCGGCCACATCGGAGCCAGAATAAGAATGTGGCCTGCAAAAGTCTTTAACCTGGCTAGTATAGAAAAAAAAATGATCTGAATAGCAAGAGGGTTAGTTAGATCTGATCAGATCACTTTGAAGGAATGACTAAAATTAAGTTGCGAGTGGTTCCTTTTTCCCCCAATTGAAACCGTGTGAATGAGAAAATATAAATTGGCAATATGTACCTCTGAGATTTAAAGAGCTGATGTTAAAGGAAAAAAACAAGAATTAATTATGTCATATCTTTAAGATTTTTTATATATTAGTTTATAAATTAGTTTTATATATTAAAGCTCGGTTCTATGAATAGAAATTATCATAATCATAAAAACTGCACAAACTAACTACATTACTAGTGCAGTACAACAGTTTTAAAATATTTTATTTCTAGTTATCCTACGTTCTTTCCTGGAAAGGCGTTATCTAACCTGAGCAGGCGTTGGTAATGCAATAAGGTTTCCAATTTATATGATGCAAGTACTGTACAGAAACTCTTAGCTAATACGAGTATCATAGTATGAAAATATAAATTAAATTAAAACCATCAAAATCTCACAAGCCCTTCTGCTTTGATAGCAACACGCGCCTCGCTCGTGTAGTCTAGAAATTAATGCAGTACATTTAACATTTTCTACAAATTCCCAAAAGAAAAAAAGAAAAATTAAACATGAAGGTAAAAGTTGTACAAAAATCCAACAAATCTTACTCATGTTAAACCATTACCTTGTCCAGCTTAGATTTTTGGTCCTCGGAGGCAACCGTCATGGCATTACAAAACATGGGTGCCAAAACCTTCTGTAATGCTTCCTTCAGATCATCAGCATTTTTTCTCACACTAAAAGAAGAGAAAGTATTTACAATAACCTAATCCATCAACCATAATTCAGAAACATCAAATGCCATTTGCAGTCCAGGAAGATGCACACTACCCATCTTTCTTTCTCCTTTTTGCGGGGGATGAGGGGGGGGGGAGGGAACAATCTAGTTAGGGAACACTCATAACACAGACAAGAGTTCTTCCCTCTGAATCCATGTTGTCCCTATGTTACAAACTATTTAACCACCGCACTGCGCAAAGCGCCTTTAGGCGCTCTGAGAGTTGTGCTAATTTTTTTTAATTAGGCTTTATTTTAAATGTTTTTTAATGTTCTCATTACTCTGTGTTTTTAAATTAAAATAATTAAGTTTGGAAACATTTTGACATCAACTTTACCTGAATATTTATAAAAATAAAAATATGTCTTGACAATTGCATTAAGAAGTTTTTTGCCGAAACCCGATGCACAGTGCAGGGGTTAATTCTCTACAAGTGCTCCTATATTCTTTATCAATGACCTGACCTCACTTCCTACACATTTCACTCGTCACTTCCACCCACTGTGTGTTCTCCTTGAAGACATTTCTCATAAAAAACTATTATGTGATTATTTTCAGTCCTGGTTATTTTTTCATTCCAGCACTTATAGGTAATTATTCAGTGATATGGCTTGAGTATCGTTTTCAGAAGCAGAAACACACATTTATAACTACTGTACTGCATTGTATAGTGATCAAATACTATAAATGCTCTTTCTCAAGTTTGACAAATAACATCCTAAGGTTTATGTCCATTGATTTTCAAAATGATTTATGTATGAAAATAAATTGTGTACTATGTTATCTTCAAAAATGAGCCTCATTTGACTTGTAACTTCACTTTAATGTATTTATAAATATCAACTGAATTTTAAAGTTAATTCTATCAGCCACTACACAAAAAAAATTAAGAATAAATCATAAGCTTTGTCTTTAGGAATATAAATTTTAGTGTATCAATTTCTATCCTTAAACAGATTCATCAGCTGGAAATATGTCAAGATAAATTCCAACGACATTACCAATATCTTACACCCGAATTCCACAAACTAATAACACAATGAACAAAATAATTGCAATATAACACTGATAATTGAACTTACCAATGATGAAGGACATCATTCATTAAGTATATGATGTGTAACTTGTGATTGAATGGACCACTATTGGCTGTAGCTCTGAAAAGACAACAAAGTTCATAGTTACGTTCTTTTTTAATGAGAGTTTTTTGTAAGTATCCTAACTAGTTCAACAAAAACTACACAGTACTTTTAAATGATTTGTTATTTATTTGTATACACAAGAGTTCTTACATTTTTGCACAGCCACTAGCACACATAGGGTTTCGGCCAAGTCCTAAATCCTAATATTCCCCGGAATACGACGCACCAAATCGTTAAACAACCAGGTACCCATTTTACTTTTGGATAAACAGAGGCTACAGTTAAGAATGGGTGCACAGTAAATCTTCCCCAACCAGAATACAAAGCTAGGACAAAGTGATTGCAAAACTATGTTATCAACTTTGTTTTTAACCACATCTTGGAATTTAACTTAATTATTAGCAAGTTGTTCTGAGAAATCTTTATAAATGGGCACTTTTGTACCCCCCCCCCCACCCCACATGCACACAATTTTAGAATGGTTGGTGCTAGAGACGTTACTGCATGCACTACAAGTGGTTGCTGTGTTAGCCCTCACATCCAGGAGGGGTGCCCAGAATTTTTGTCCAGAATGGCATCTGTTAACAGGAGACCCGAGAAGTTTGATTCGAGCCTCGTGTACCCGGGGAGTTTTGAATCTTATGTTAGACCTAAAAGCATCGATGGTCGCCATGCGCACCACTGATTGCTATGAATCGTTGAAGAGTTAAATTCACTTAGCTTATCTATGCAACGCATTTCCCCACACCTCTAGTGCTGGATGCAGTTAGCTTTTGCCTTGTTATAGGATTGGATTTGTGCAAAAATGATTTCAAACATTTTATCAACAAAACCTGTCCACAGACTGAATCCAAGTAAATTTTTGATAAAGAAATAGCTCAAATATTCAATTCCGTCTGAAAGTGTTTTCAATAAAAATGAAATACTTGTTGGAAGAATGTTTACCAATTAGCTACTGAATATGTGAATCAAAATGAGTGATTACCATGTGTTCATATCTAAATATAAGAACAACCAACAAGTGAAAACACCTTTAAAAATATTCAAAATCAGTTTTACATCATTATAAAACAAACCCCGTCAGTCTTACTTCCATAACAAGTATCGTGCAAGCCACTGATTTTTTGATGGAGACTGGGCATTAGTGAAGATCCAATGTTTGCCATTAGATATGGAGTCCTTGGTACAAGATTCTGTGATTGGGCCAAGAAGTTCATCTAATTCATGAGTGGAGAAACCCAGATCAGAGGCCTCATTGCGCAAAACTTCACCTCTGGCAACATATATACCTTCTCTCACTTGACCATCCTTTTGTTGCTCCAAAACCTGCCAAAAAATAGTAAATACAATAGTTAAAAATAAATGCTGTAAATATAGTATTGACAAATATTTCTGGGCTGAACATAAGTTCAAGAACGGATAGAAAACAAGTACAGTACCATATTCATAAAAAATGCAACTTTAATTACATCAGGGAAAATAAATATTTGTACAAAAAGTACACATGCCTTGACAGGAGTTTTAACAACTAATCCTGCTGTAAACACTTTGCTCAAGTGGGACGATAACACTTTTATTCTACCAAGTTTACATGTACAGAGCACCACTTGGTTTCCGAACTTCAGTTATACGAAACTTCCAGTTTCCCGATTGGGGTTGGAGAGTCACGCTACATGAACTAACTTCGGGTAAGAAGCAGTCTGCCAAGCCTCACGCCAGCCGAAGTGGGAGTTACCTTACAGGTGGGAGTTACCTTACACGAACCAAGTTCAGGTGAGGAAGCAGCCAGACAAGCGTCGCGCCGGCCTGTGGTGGTGGGTGGGAGATGGTTTAGTTTGCCCACTGACCGTGTTGGGCGCCACCACTCTGGTGCCTGCTACCCTGTGATGTCACAGATTCACGGCCTATTGTTCCCATTGTTTGAATTTGTCACGAGACTGGAGTGTTCATTCCGTGACTTTGTTTTACATATCAGCACAATCAAGGAACATCCGTGCACCACGTCGGCTCCAAATGCACGCATTGTGTCAGTGAAAGCATCAACAAGCAGGTTATGTCAAAGAAAGAGGTCAGTGATGACATTTGAAAAGAAAGTTGAAATAATTAAGAAGGTGGAGAGCGGTGTCCCGAGAAGTGTCGTGTGTGCTGAATATGGCATTAGCAAAAGTACTGTTTTTGATGTTAACACCCATCATTTTTTACTATTTCTCTAAAAGTGAAAGCTGTAAGGCAATACAGAATAGAAAGGTAGTAAGTAAAGCAAAGGTGGAGAGTGTTGATAACGCAGTGTGGGAGTGGTACAAACAGAGGCGTGAGGTGACGAAGAAGCCAGTGGCAGGTTGGCTGTTCGTGGAAAAGGTGCACGAATTTCACCAAGCAATGAAAATTACTCAGAAGTGTGTATACAGTGATGGACGGTTCAGAAGCTTAAAAACCCATCATGGCATTAGGTTCATTAAAGTACATGGTGAAAGACAATCTGCTGATATTGTTGGTGCTGAGGAATATGCAAGTAAACTTGCGGAGATGGTGCAGGAACAAAATTTATCTCCAGAGCAAATTTATAATGCTGACGAGACAGGTTTGTACTGGCGTATGCACCCAACTCATCACATATTGACACAGTCAACCCAACACCATTAACATCCACCAACACCTCCTCCATGTAAATAACTATGCTTCATCAACATCGATCATCAACATAAGCGGATCAGGACTTATTGGAGAGTACAAACAAAATATGGTCGCATTTATGTTACGAACCTGTCAATTTTTCCCCTATTAAGGGAAGATTAAATCACAATGAATGATGAAAAACACAACTAATAAAAAGCCATACCTGGTATATCAGCAACAACAAAATTTTACGAACTTCAATAAAGGTGTGGTTACATTGCTGAAGCATATACAATATTCTAGTTTGAATTGCACAATCTGTAACAAAACAGAAAAAAGCAGGATGCAATAACACCTACTCACCAACTGTTGTGCGGCTAAATTCTGTTCGCTTTGATGAATCTGCTCCTGTAACTGCTGCTGCTGGTTTGTAATGGACTCTATAGTTACACTTGGTGGTGGAGGTGGTGGGGGTTGTGCATATCCTGGAGCAGTGCTAGTAAAAGCACCTGGTTCACCAGCCTTGAAAAACAAATAATTATTTCCAAATGATACTACACAAATACAACAATAACTGTTCTGTAATATTTTTCAGTAAAGTACATATTTTTTGTATAAGTAATTAAAACATAATTCAGTTATGTCTGTACTGTATCATGTGCTTTCAATTGCATATCCTATGAAAATACATTTCCTGATCCAATAGACTCACCTGAGGCGCTGTGTATGTTGCATCTCCAGGTGGTGGCGGTGGGAAAGACTGAGTAGAATGTACGAATGGAGGCTCGGCTGTACTGGTTGGAACAAAAGGTGTGGAAGTGACATAACTTGGATCACCAGGTGGAAATGTTGCAGGTGGCGGCTCACTTGAAGGGGGTGGAGGAGCATATTGCGTCGGGGGGAAACCTCCAGGTGCTACTGGTGGTTGTGGGAATGGGGGCAACTCAGGCTCAGGATATGAAGCAGGTGGGTAACCATATGCAGGTGGGTAGTTTGGACCAGGAAAACCACCTCCACCTGGGAAAGCTCCTTGTGGAGGGGGCGGAGGTTGATGTAATGAAGGCTGTTGTGAGGGTTGAGACTGTTGCTGTTGCTGCTCACGAGCTTGCCGATGTTTTAATACTTTTATGAAAATATAAAATATTATATATGAGGAACATGGGATAAATAAAAACACCATTAATACTAACTTGTACCACTATAATTGAATGGAGCATTTGTTCATAACAAGGGTGAGGGTGAAATTTGGAAAGCAGAACCTAATACAGTATTACAAAATAAAAGTCAATATGAAATGCTCCTGGGCAGATTACTCTGTTGCTCCCCAAGGTGATATTTACTGTACCAGGACCATAACATCACGGGCAGTCGGGAAAGACAATATTTCAACTCTGACACTATCTGAATTGTTCAATTAACATGTACCTGCTAGCAGATGATAGCTAGCACAAATAGGTTCTGATGTGGAAGGAAAATTCATTGCTTCCTATCCACATGAAAAGTAAAGAAACCATACCAAAGTTTGGTGAAATAGACATGTATAGAAACCATCTTGCAATTGTGGAAAGAAGCCACACCAAGAGGCAGCTTTTAGTTCTATAGACACAAAGAGGTCCATTTGAAAAATGCCAAATGCATCCTCAGAAAGGAGGCCCCATTCACCTCTCATTCTGTTCAGATCGGACAAACAGGAGAGACCATCAGAAGTACATTCAACATCTTTAAGAGTGGAATGAACAAAATGAAGCTAAGGAAAGTTCAATACTGTACAGGACTGTAATAAGAGTTATCAATAAGCCACCAAACCTTGACTATGCAATATATGTCAAGTAGGGAAGAAACATTTAGGGTTAGTTTTTAATACAAGTTACAACATTAATGCTTACATGAAGTCATTAAAACACACTCGGCAAATACAATTCAAAATCTTAAAGCAGGAGAGTTTTTGTAAGTAATTTAAGACAGCATTCTCAGCAGCATATTAAAAAGACAACCAGGAAAAAATTGTAATATAGACATCGCTAGCTAACAAAGCTCAAGAACTTCCTGGGACTTCATGGTGAAAACACAAGCTACCAATTCAAGACTATTTTGGGTCAAACTTAACTACAAATTAGTCCCTGAATGCTGAACCACAACACGATAGTTGAGGAGAATGTGAAGAACTATAGGTCTTTGAACTCTCAAGTGCACATGATGCACTCTGGTGGAATGGGGTGCAGGCTGCCAGGCAGGGAACCTTGCAACTAGTGGGCACTCTCTGGTATGGATTGGAAAAGACTGAACTTTTTTTTAATTAAACTTTGTTGATCAGTCTCAGAGATTGAGTGATCCTAGCACTTTAGGATAAATGACCCTGCAGGGATATTCAAAATTCCTGTTTTGTTCCAGTGTCAGAATATTATCCTGCCTGACTATTCATAATCTTATGTAGAGACAAAGTGAATCATACCTTTGAGGGTATCTGAATGAAAAATCAGAAAAATATATAAACATTTCTTTAAACCTTATTATTATTATTAACAAGTCAGTAATTATCTTAGATAACATTAAGAATGCAGCATGATTACTCACTTGCTTGTTCTGTTGTAACTTTGTACTGATAGTAATTGAAGAATTCTCCACCAAACAAGAAGCTAAACTTTGGATTCTCCTTCTGCTTGGTTTTGGTCATTTGCTCGAATTCAGGGCCATTGCGAGCCACAAACTGTGCCAACTTGTCAATAATATTCTTCAACTCTTGGTCTGGAAATTAAAAAATTTACAAACATTTCAAAACATTAAAATATTTAGCCAAGTACTACTGCACACTTCAATGAGTGGAACTCTAGTGCTTATTGGTCAAAATAAAATAGATCTCAAAATAGGAAGATAATTTTGGTTAAAATTGGCCAGATTAGGATTTGTCCAAGCTAATCAATCAGAACATTTACTGGCAACTATGGGAAAATTAAAAATATCTTTTAAGAATATCAGGCACGCAAGCTTGAAGCAGAACTTTATTAAACGACCAGGCATGGATGTGCATCATACTTTTAAAATGAACAATCTTTGACAAGACAATGAATTATTTTAGGCTTTGTTGGAACATCCCAACATTTCCTGGAATATGACCTCACCAAATCATTTAACAACCAGGTACCCATTTTACTACTGGGTAAACAGAGGCTATAGCTAAGGATTGATGCCCGGTATATGCCCTGGCCAGGATACTTAAAACTGATCTGTCTGATGGACACAAGTCAGCATGGCACATCATGTGATGCTCACCAAGAATCACTGGATGGGAAATGATTTTGTTGAAATCCAACCTATCCTTCTGTTTAATTAGTAGTTATAGTAATGATGAGGATCATCGTACATATGTTGACATAAAAGGCAATTAGAAGGTAAAAATCTGTAAACTGTTCTATTGAATTTGGACAAACCGGTAGAGTTTTATACTGATGTTGCAAAAAAAAAATTAACCTAACCTTCTTAGGCCTAATACAATACATATATATGCTATAATAGGCCTTTGGATATTTAAGTTTGGTTTTTAGCTTTATTTTTTAGAACTCAAAGTGAACAGTACCAAATTCTAAATGCTCATTATGTCTATGCATGTACAAAGGTCCACAAAGTTACAAAAAGTACTCTCTAAACAGCTGGATGAGTTGTTGAAATCCTCACTACAGCAATTTTGAAAAGTAGCTATGGCAACAAATTGACAACTCGAAGATCTTAAGCTAGAAACAAAGCCAAGGTTGCAGATATTTGAAGACCTAGGTTCTCATCACCTCATCACTGACATTTAAAACTTTGTCAGCCAAAATAGTAAAACCCTTAATTGTGACCTAAAAGACACTCCAACTGCTTCTCTCAGTCATCCATAAAAATACCTAGAATGGACTGGTGTAGTCCTACCAATCCCAAACCTTTCTTATACATTTATTTACCCTCCCCCCCCCCCCAACACAATTTAATAAGTATGCCTCAGATGAACAACCCAGCAGGTTTTCTTTCTATTGGGGGTGCTGTACATGCTGCTATGGCTGTATGTTCACTCACAGGATGAGTGGCAGTTTTCAATAAACTCACCCTTCAGGATAAAATTTAAAAATACAATTTAACCTATTCTAATGGACTCCTGGTTCAACTTTGACAACAAGCGAACATCCGAACAGCTGCCCTACCTGGGGACCACTGAAACATGATGTGATTTTACCCTTTGAGTTTTGATACTGTCTTCTGGTGTCCTCTTTAACAGTCCAGATTGATACAATGTCTGGCACATTTATTGCCTTGGTTGGGTCACGGGAAGTTGACATTTTTTTCCCATCTTCTGGTTAGTTCTTTGGGCGGAGAGTGTCCGGCACCAGCTTGGTCAAGAGGAGGTGCCAGGAGTTGGCGAGTCTTTGTGGGCTCCTAGTGAGCCTTCAGAGCATGGTGGTTGTTTGGCTCTTGCTCTGCCGGAGGTGCTGGAAGACGTTTTTGCCGGACTGAGTACGAGTTTAGAAGGGTCCATTGCATTTCTGTCACAGCTTTGACTACCTAGTGTTTTTTGTGTAGTAAGGCCAGAGTTACTTTCCACCAACATGACACATGGACATGCCTAAAGACTGTTTTACCTTTCAAGAGAACACTGAGTATATCTAGAACAATTCCTATCATGGCCCCCCTACCTATGCCAAACACCACCATCATCTCTCCTTTTAGCAGCAGCATTCGACCCGTCCTCTTACTAATTATGTCGCTTTTCGCTCGTATGCACACCAAGGCTAAAAATCGATGCACTAGAAAATTAAAGTGGCACGCAAAAGTGACATACTGTTCTGTTTTGTTTTGGGTTCTCTGGGTTAGTCTGTTAGGTCAGGAGAGGACACGTTAAATTAACCATTTTTATAACATTCTGAAACCCTAGGAGAACTTTCTGTTCTCCTAACCTACCAGAGGACCCAAAACTTGCTGCTTTGGGTCCATTTAATTTGAAAAATTAATTTCCATTTTTGTTTTAAATTCCAATTCTGCAATTTTTAGCCATAGCGCATATGAGTGAAAAGCAACGTAATTTGTAAGAGGACAGGCTGCAGCATTAGCCTCCAATGCCATAGACCTGCTATGACTCTTGCCACCCAGCCTCAGCAGTGTCTTTGTCTGGGATACTGCATGATTACTGTGCCTTTCAGTATCCTCTCAACTCCGGCTATCTTAAGCAGTTACAACACACACTGCTCTTTTTCACTCGCACACATCAGTGCAAATCACGTTGTACACATTCTCATAGGAATTGATTGGGATAGATAAAGAAACTATTTCGCATGGGTGGAATACAAACACTAGAACACAAGTGGTAAATTAGAACTTTAATGATTCACAGAGACATTAGAAAGAATTACTTCAGTGTCAGAGTGGTTAAATTCAATTCAAACAAAATGCACTAGCAAGTGATGTGGAGGTAGACTCCATACGAGGCTGTGGTAGTAAATATGACAGTATCCAATAGGCTCAGGAACCTGTACACCAATTGATTGATAGTCAAGAGACAGAACAAAAGAACTGAAGTTCAACCCCCTCAAGCACAACTAGGCAAGTAAAGATGGTTTGCCAACAGATTTCAAAACCTATTTAACCTTATGCAACTTAACCCCATACAGCTTAACCTAAAGCTAGAATCGTGTTAGTGTGCACAAGACGGTTCTCCACACGATTTTAACAAATTCCTAACTGCACCTAACCTAACTGTGTGTAACCTAATACAGTATATCCTAAACTAACACTATATGATTTTGACAATTAGAAAACCAGCTCTGTTGAAAACCTTGTCTATAATTAGTTTGCCCGAAAAGCTGTGCGTATTAGTGGCTTTAGGCATAGTATGTACTAGCTCTATCTAGAAATCTAACAGCCTGTTTGTAACTTATCTTTTATGTACATATGCACGTTTACCTGAATAAACATTCATTTATTATTTATTTACATTCCCACATGCACACACTCGCTAAAAACTTGGCTAGACCACTAGATATACGCCACACAGTATCCCAAAGCCTTTGCCAGTATATTTTAAAACTGACTAAGCCTTACCCAACCCAATCTTACAATATGTATGGTTTTGACAATTAAAAAACGAACTTTGCCAAAGTTCCTGTGAACCATCTCACCATACCACAGACCCGGTCCATCTAATTACCACAAGCTTCCTGGCAATACGTTAGTAATGAATAAATATGATATATTTACTCATTATAATGTTGGTACTGAATGTACAACACGAAAAAACAATTTTAATCTGAAAAAGTATATTTTTATAAAGAAATTAGACTTTTCTTAAAAAATTAATTAGAAATTAAAGAGCTGGTGACGCCAAATCAAGTCGACGATCCAAGCGTCGGTTAGGTTAGGTTAGGTTTTGTATGGTTAAGTTAGGTTAGGTTAGGTTAGGTCAGCCTAACCTAACATATCATATTTATTCATTACTAACGTATTGCCAGGAAGCTTTGTGAAGCTTGTGTAGCTTGTGGTAATTAGACGGACCCCCACAGACCACCAGTTATATATAAAGGGATTCTTTCCATACAAAATCCTAAGTCTTTGATCAAATACATGTTACTGAAACAAGCTACAGTTCTTGAATGCTTCTACCCATTTCAGCGTTAGACTTTTAGTGGGAGTGATGGTGTTCTAGCAGTATTAACGACTTAAAGGAGGAAATGTATATGTTTATTTCTCAGAATGTTTGGCAATATGTTTATTGTTTGTGATGTACTCACCTAGTTGTGTTTGCGGGGGTTGAGCTCTGGCTCTTTGGTCCCGCCTCTCAACCGTGTATGTTGAGTATATATGTATATATATATACATATATACTCTATATATATGTATGTGTATATATGTATGAGCACGTTGTACTGAACGGGGTGAGAATAGCTTGAGCTACCTCATCCCTATGTGTGTATTTTACCTCAATAAACTTATTTCAATTCCAACGACTTGACACTCAGAATATGAACATTTTTTTCTCCATTGGTCAAGCAAATTAACTTACCGGGGGGAGGTTGTGGAAGCTCCATGATAACTCAATTCTACACCAAGGGAAATCTTCTGCACATTAAACGTAGCTATGAAGCTATAGCAAGATATTCTTCTGCACTCCTCATATCTACCCCTCCAGAAGCTACGCTACACAGTGTTACCAGATAAAGCTAACAACTCCAAAGCCGCGTTCGTCTGATATAGACTACGAGGGTCTAAAATGTGCCTCCACATCTCAACCTTCTACGTCATCGTTTTTGTGACGTCACACCGCAAACCAACACTTGCTCAATATATCTAGAAAACCAGTAATTTCTCAGTTAATACCGAGAGTTCCTCAATATATTTTACATTATAGGAAAGAACACATACAATATTGTATTTTGAATCCATGACAATTCTAAAATGTTCCCTTTTATTGTAGATACATGTGTTATGAGGGGCACCACTGTATTTGTAACTGCCCTATTGTCAATGATTTTAGACCAAATGACATGAGATTGAGCTTTGGAATTATTTCATTCATTCGCGGATATTGGAAGATATTATCGTGCTCTACCCAAAGTTCGTAAGTGACTAGAGACTATAGTCTCTTGACTATAGACTAGAGACAAGTGACTGTAGTTTACAGACTCGCATCATATAATTTTCCTTGATTCCATGAATGACTAACCATCCTGTAAGATGGAGATATGAGGTGAATTTACAACTAGCTCTTGATCTATACCTTGAGTTAGCTTCGGGGCTTAGCGTCCCCGCGGCCCGGTCATGCACGGAGTTCAGTTCCTGTGCCTATTATGTGCCATTGTAACTTTTTCCACTGCCACCCACGGGATGGGTATGGAGGTGCATAATAAATGAACAAAATCAACTATTCTTTATATTCCGTAATCCACTATATACAATAGGAGTAGCAGCACACTGAAGTGTAAATAAGCTTGTTAATGAACAAAAGTGGCATTATCTGTTTGCGTGAATGAACTGACACATACGAATACGTAATTTTTCTTTCTTTTTCAACAAGCTTATGTACACTACAGTAATGTGCTATCCTCTTCTGTATGAGAGATTACAAAGTATAATTCAAGCGCTTGCTATACGTTTATCTAATACCCCCATCTCACAGGATGGTTAGTCATTCATGACTGGAATCAAAGAAAAATAAGATGTGAGTCTTAAGTACTACAGTCTATACTAGAAAACTCTGAGAAAATATGAGTATCTTTCAACATATCTTTGAATGAATGAAATGTGTCTACCTCTTCAAACGTTTAAACAATGTAACTATTTTATCTTAATTGGATTAGTGTATCCATGCACGGCGATCCCACTTTCAAAAAGACATATCTGCCTTTGAGTGCCATGTATTGTGACTGTTGTAAGCCTCTTGTTGATCACTTGTGACACAAAGATTATTGATGTGTGTATTTGTGTGGGTATTAGATATGTATGTGTATGTATATATGTATACGTATATATATATGTACATGTATGTATGAGTGTGTGTACACGTGTATACAACATTAATAATTTTGTAACTAGCGTCAAACATTGTTATTTGCTTAGCTAAACGAACTAGAGGGTTCAGTTCCTGAACCGATTATGTGCCTCTGTAATCCTTTACACCACCGCCCACGGGATGGGTATGGGGTGCATAATAAAGAAAGAAATTGAATTGCTTTTGAGACAGTAAACATAACACAATTTATCCAGAACTAAATCAACAATCATACCAGGAAGAGTTGAAAGATACAGGACTAACAACACTGCTAACCATAGGGCTGATTGCAGTGTTAAATGGGATTCTTGTAATGTTATTTGTCTATTTGTACTCACTGAATTTGTGCGCCCCTTGAGGAACTTGAAGTAGAGGGGGTAGAAATAGCCTAAGCTACTTTATCCCTTTGAGATGTATTTCTTGCTTATCTCAATAAACATACTTGAACTTGAATAGGGCTGATCTAATCAAGACCTTTAAAATACTGAACAACATTGAGGTTATTAATCCAGACAACTTAAAAGGTAAATATATAACGCATGCAAGGGGCAGGAACTTCAAACTCAACAAGCCACAATGTTGAACTGAAAACAGATGTTTTTTTCACCCCATAGAATTATAAACCCACGGAATCGCTTACCCACCGACACTTTAAATCCCAATGCATTATTTAGGTACAAAATCTAGTCAGATAAAAATCCTCAGGAACAATTTGATGACCATTGACAAGACGCCGGTTTCTTGTCCCCGCCGAGGTCACTAGAGAGATAGCGGTCTTCAGGTAAATATTAGGTGTTTAAAATTATGTAAAGTATATAAATGACTTGGCTTCAATTTCTAATATTACATTGCTACACATAGCCGTTGCAGTACAAGCAGCAGAAATAGAAGCTGCCAACAATCTGTTACCAACAATCATAATAAAACATTAAGTAAACACATGATGTTCTTGGCAGCACACTTTCCCTAGAGGCCGGGCCTTGACCCAACCCACCTGGAAGGACTCAGTCACCAGAAGACATGGCTACTTCTCACGGCGTTATTAACATGGACTCTGAAAGCAGCCAGTCAGACGAGGAGGGCGTGTTTCAAGAAGTTCTGACAAGGAATAAGAAGAAACGAAGAAGACAGGAGGCAAGGCGTAGTGTGGACAGTAATACACTTAACGGAAACGATAAAAGAATGAAGAACGACGCCGAGACTGATGCAGACAAACGGACGGAACGATGTCAGGAAGGTGAGGATCAGCGGAGATGGAGGCTTCTCTTCCCTGCCTCATGCACGCTGGCCTATCATCAGAAGCTGCTGTGGACCGTCAAACTCGGAAGAGAACACCGCAAGTTCGAGCCCCTGCTGAAGGAAGGTGTAAACAGACCTTACTTAACGGTAGGTTCTATGGAGGCAGTGGAGTATCTTACCCAGCAAGGATACGATGGAATTCTTATGGAAATACCGGAGGGGAACGAGAAGCTGACGAAGGTAATTATCTATAAATACCCTCAGATTCTGGACCCCGAGTTTATACTCGACGACCAACGATTTGTGTGGGCCAAGCGTCACCTTATTAAAGGTGAAGCTAGGAGTCAGGTGGTGGCTCTAGTGAGAGGTGACGTACCCGAAAAAGTGTTCATCACCGGGGCTGGCTACAGGCATGTAGCAAAGTATGTGGAAGAGCCCATAATATGCCTGAAATGCTGCAGATGGGGGCATAAATCCTGGAGATGTCAAAATGATCCACGATGTCGTTTCTGCGGAAAGTCTCACCTCTCTACTGTGTGTAGAAACAGACTGAATCTGGGTGAGAAAATAGTTCCCAGATGCTGCAACTGTGGAGGTGTTCACAATGCGAGCTCGGCTGTGTGTAGCAAGAGGCCGAGTATGGCTGTTCTCCGGCCGGTGAATGTTACAGAGCAAGCAAGAGCTCTTACCCAGACACCGGGAGCACAGCAAAACAGTCTGCCCCAAACAGTGCCAGTGAACCGGACGAATGCGTGGGTAAAGGAGTCACCTTTACTTAGGCAGGCTCCAGCAACAAGCAGCCACGCCACCACTCAGGACTCCGGCAGTGACAGTGTAACGGTGAGTGAAGTGGCTACTGTGGCTCAGAGAGAGGGTCATAATAATATGGTCAAGGAAGTGTGGGCTGAACTTAAAAAAGTTGGTGAGTTCCTCCAAAATCTGGGGCAGAGAATCGAGTCCATCGAGGCTAAATTAAACGTTCAGGAGGTCAAGGAAAATCACAAAACGGTGAAGGATAATCAGGATATAGTGGTTGAGGACAAAGATGAAATATTGAGTGATGAAATGAAGGAAAGTGAAGTGTGTGTGAATGATGGTAGTCGTAGTGAAAGGAAGAACCCTATAATTACACATAAAATGAAGGAATCATTTGGGCCAATAATGGACATCTCAGGGCTGAAAAAATCTCTTGAGAATCGCAATGTCGCTTTTACTGGTGAACTTGGGAGGAGGTGGGAGATGTTATACAAGGTATGGCTATCATTTAGTGAACTTATTGGGGATGACTTAGGCAATGAATTGATTAATAATGGATCACCCTAGACTGAAAGTGTTGTCATGGAATGTTAATGGTTTGAGAAACAGGGTTACAGATGTTCATTGTTATGTGATGGGAAATGATATTGATGTTGTAGCTCTCCAGGAGACAGGGGATAGGAATGAAGGATTATTGAAATTAAATGGCTATAAAGGGTTTCACCTCTTCGCTGCAAATAACATCAGAGGCACGTCGATTTATGTTAAGAACTCCATACCAGCAGAGTTAGTAGAACCGCCATCAAAAACGCAAGGTATAGAGAGTGTTTGTGTTAAATTATCATTAAGGGAAGGGGAATTTATTGTAGTTAATTTGTATGTATCCAGGAACTGCTTCGACGCTAACTATTTACCTGACTGCATTTATACTAATCCTTCACTGGTCATTGGGGACCTTAATGCTCGGCACACAAGCCTTGGGACAGTGGGTAGTATTAATGCTAATGGGGTCAAGTGGTTACAGTTTCTACAAGATCATCCAGATACCTGTCTATTGGGAAACAATGAACCAACTCACATCAGGGGAGGACGGCTTGACTATGCCTGCGTTTTAAACTCTCAGGGGATTATGGGGGAGGCTCGGGTTGTTCGGGAACTACTTAGTGACCACTTTGCCTTGAACGTTGAATTACCACTGGGGAAAAAACAAGTCCACTTTCAAAGGAAAAGGCTAAATATTAAGAAAGATATGAAAAATTATTTTATTCAAAATATGGGAGATTGGTATCAACATTACACGCCGCTCTGCGTTGATAGTTTTTACGAGGACATGGTCGTGAACATAGAGAAATTAGTACAGAGGGAAAATAACGGGGGCAGGGGAAGCAAGACGCACGGACCTAAGAAATTTAAATATTCCAATGATCAGCAAGTCAAGGGATGGGAGAGAATGCTACGGGGTGCGCATAAAGCATGGTTAAAAAATGGAAGGAGGGATGAAGAGAAAAATACAATGTTGGAAGTGGCTAGGGAATGCAGTCAGGTGAGGAAGGAGGCGCGGGACAGATACTGGCAAGACTTTGCTCAGGCCATTGGTAATACTAAGAACCTTAAAGACATATGGAGAGCAGTAAATAAAGTCAGGGGTTGTAAGACTAAATTCATTGCTCACTCAGATCCAGGGAAAGTTGCTAATGAGTTAGTAGATAAATGGGCAAGTGC